AGCCTATCCTTTCCATAATAGGATAGGGGCCAAAATACTTTGATGTAATCTTATGGTAAGGAGAAATGGAAATAGTGGATTGTCTATAAGGCTGGAGTTTAACAAAGACCCAATCACCAACATTAAACTCCCTGTCAGAGCGGTGACTATTAGCCTGATCTTTCATGCGTTGTTGTGCACGACCAAGATGGAATTTAGCCAATTGCAACTTAAATTCTCGAACCAACATAATATCCTCAATATCAGTTGCAGAAGGATCTACAGGAAGGTAGGGAAGGTGAATAGGAGGAGGATAACCATATAGGAGTTCAAAGGGGGAGGTTTTAATAGCAGAATGGGGTGTAGAATTGTACCACCATTCAGCTAATGAAAGGAATGTACCCCAGTCAGAAGGAGAGTCACAGCAAAAGCATCGTAAATAAGTCTCCAAGCATCTGTTAAGGACTTCACTATAGCCATCCGTTTGAGGATGGTAAGCAGTAGAAGTCTGTAATGTGACTCCTTGAATGGACATGAACTCCTTCCAAAAGGAGCTGATAAAGATGGGATCTCGATCACTAGTAATAGAAGCAGGAAACCCACTGAAAATAGAATCCAAGAAAATCTGGGCAAGAGACTTGGCAGTATAGGGGTGAGAAAGAGCAATGAAATGTCCATATTTAGTGAGTCTATCTATAATGACCCAAATAACAGTTTTTCCCTTGGATTTGGGCAACCTTTTAATGAAATCCATGTTAATATCAGTCCAAGGCAGTGAAGGAATAGGTAAAGGTTGAAGGAGTCCAGGATATGCATATGTATCATACTTGTTTCTCTGCATGTAGTACATTTGTGAATGAATTCCAAAACATCTTGTCTAATGCCCTTCCAGTAGAAATGGGCCATGACCTTCCTTGTAGTGGCATCAATACCCGAGTGCCCTCCAGAAGGAGTGGAATGCCACAGAGTAAGGATTTGATTCCTCAACTTAGCATCATGTCCTATAACCAATTTGCCCTTTCTCCTTAGCTGATTATTAATCCAAGTATAGTGCTTCTGAGGGTAGTGTGGGAGTGAATCACTAAGAGCAATCAACTCCGGATCAGAAGCCCAATTAGCTGTAATAGCCTGCCACAATTCAGCTTGAACAGAAGAGACCATTAAGGACATAAGCTCAGCACCATCAACTCTGGAAAGTGAATCAGCAGCCATATTTTCCTTACCCTTTTTGTATTGTATCTCAAAGTCAAAAGGAAGCAATTTAGCTAACCACCTCATTTGGGAGTCAATATGCAGCTTTTGATCCAACAAATATTTCAAAGCTCTTTGGTTAGTTTTAACGATGAAATGCTGACCAAGCAGGTAATAGGGCCATTTGGTGACAGCAAAGACTAGAGCAAGAAGTTCTCTTTCATAAACTGAGAGAGCAAGATGCCTGGGGGCTAAGCCTTTGCTGATAAAAGCAATAGGGTGATCATGCTGCATGAGAACAGCTCCAATACCTGTTCCACTTGCATCAGTTTCAACTACAAAGGGAGCAGAATAATCAGGTAGAGTTAGGACAGGAGCAGTGGTTAAAGCTAATTTGAGTGCAGAGAAGGCTTGAGCAGCACTATCAGACCAATGGAAGTTGTCCTTCTTGAGTGACTCAGTAAGAGGACGACTGATAAGGCCATACCCTTTGATAAACTTCCTGTAATAGCCAGCTAAACCCAAGAAACCCCTTAATTGCTTAATAGTTGTGGGAGTTGGCCAGTGTTGAACAGCAGCTATTTTCTTAGGATCTGTAGCTACTCCTTCATTAGAAATGAAATGACCTAAGTATTCCACTTTAGAAACACCAAAGACACATTTAGATTGCTTAGCTAGTAAGCTATTTTGCACCATAACCTCAAACACTTGCTGCAAGTGTATTACATGATCCTGCAAATTCCTGCTATAAACAAGGATATCATCAAAGAAAACCAAGACAAATTTTCTGATAAAGTGTTGGAATAAATGGTTCATGAGACACTGGAAGGTAGAAGGAGCATTAGCTAAGCCAAAGGGCATAACTAAATATTCATAGTGTCCTAGATGGGTCTTAAAGGCAGTTTTAGGAATGTCCTCTATCACCATTCTTATTTGGTGGTAACCTGATCGAAGGTCAATTATTGAAAAAATCACTGCCCCTGCTAGTTCATCCAACAAGTCATCTATGATGGGAATAGGGAACTTGTCCTTAACAGTACACTGGTTTAACTCCCTGTAGTCCACACAAAGTCTCCACGACCCATCCTTCTTTCCTACTAACACCACAAGTGATGCAAATGGACTGTTTCTATATTGAATCACACCTTGTTGCAACATGTCTTTAATCAGTTGTTCAATGATATCCTTTTTCATGGAAAAATATCTGTAAGGTCGAATATTGATTGGTTTTGTCCCAGGTATCAAAGGAATGCTATGATCAAAAGCACCCCTTGAAGGAGGCAAGGTAGTGGGTTCTGCAAAAACATCATGGTACTGGAATAAAAGTTCCCTAATGATAGCAGGAGTTTGAGAATCCTAAGGAAGGTGTAAAGCATAGAACTGATCATGGCAATGTAGAACGGGATGAGGGTTTAATACTTGCAACATGAAAAGTTGGACATTATCCCCGTTCATCTTGTTGACAGCTTTAGTACTTGAGAGCTTACACTCATCAGACACCCCTTTGAGAAGATGGAACTTGCCCTGATAAGTAAATGACATAGTCAAGGCTGTGTAATCCATAGTAACTGGCCCCAATGTCTTCATCCATAATGCACCCAATACTAGATCATACCTGCCAACTGGAAACACAATAAGATCAGAAGTATAGGCAGTACCCTACAATAACCACTGAAAATTCCTCACCACCCCAGAAGTAGCCTTCATAGAGTTATTCCCAAGGCTGACATACCCAACTTTAGTGGGTACAATGTGACACCCTAACCTTTTAGCAGACTCACAATCTATAAAATTGTGAGTACTTCCCCTATCTAAGAGAATTTGCAATGATGTCTTATTGCTATAACCAGTCACATGAATAGTTTGTGCCTTGGATACCACTTAATGCACACAAGGAGATCCTAGGGGGATCACCCTCATTCCCAGACCACTCTTCAGTAGTAGCTTCATCTTCTGTTTTCTGAGTCCCTGAGTCTTCCTTTTTCCCATACTCCAAATCCAACACAAATAAGTTTAGGGAGGTTACACTTATGACCCGGGATGTATTTATCATCACAAAAGTAACATAGTCCTTGTGCCCTCTTGGCCTGCATTTCAGCAGGAGATATAGTCCTTCTAGTCCTGGGTACAGTTGGTGCTCGAGGAGCAGGTAAAGCTAATTTTGGACTGGGCACAGCAATGGTAGAAGACACCTTAGCCTGCACAGGTTCATAAACAGATTTCCTCACAGTAAAGGATGATTGACCCCCAGAATTGGACCTTAGAGCTCTAGCATTAGCAGCTAATGTTGCTTCTGTCAGTCTAGCTAATCTATATGCCTTAGATAAGGTCTGAGGTTCATGCATTTTGACCGGATTCACTAATTCCTCTTTAAGTCCTTCTAAGAAGCAAGATATAGCCTGGTTAACAGATAAGTCACATTGAGCTAACACTCGAGCAAAAGCAAATTGAAATTCTCTCATTGATCCTGTTTGTCTTAACTGCTTGAGCTCCAACATCGGATCTGAAAACTCCTCACTAAAAGTTTCAATCAAAGCAGCTAGATATTCATCCCAATCTGGTACATCAAGTGAATCACAACATTTCATATAAGATTGATGCCACTCCAATGCTTCATCATCTAAATTCATTGCTACTAAACTCAGTCTTTGGTTAAGAGGAGTCTTATCCACAGAATAATATTGCTCGATCCTATATAGCCAATTTTTCAAGTTTTCTCCATTAAAACGCAGAAACAGTAGGTTATGATTTCGATTAGAATTAGCACAGTAGGGATTAGGACCTAGAATACCCTGCCCTGATTGAAGTCCTTTATCCCTACCAGTCGACGTAGATGCATTGTCCTTCGATTGTTGATTCAATTGCCAACCATCAAAGGAGATTTTAAGAGAACTTACCATCTGAAGCAACTCAGCATGCCGCCTATCCATGTCTTCACGAAGCTCCTGCTATTTCTGAGCCATTTCCTCTCTAAGATCTAGCTGCTGAGCAGCTAAGTCCTCATATTGCTCTTGCAAGTCAGTTGGTGGAACTCCAGTTACTACATCCACAGCTCTGTGAGGCCCCAATATCTACGAGCTCTGATACCAATTGATACCAGATTTTGGTATCGAGGCAATGAAACAGTGAAATTTGAAGAGAAAATAAGAAGAATGTAAGAAGGAGGTAAGAAGAAGACGAAGAGAGAAGGGGAGAAGTAGAGTTGAAAACCACTTGTTACAAATAAGATCTTGTTGTTGCATCGAAAGAGATAAATGTTATCATTATCACAATAGCTTTTCATTACATTGTATCTATTTATCTAAGAATTTGAAGGGTAAATGCATAAACTGAATTTTGAACTTGTAACTACTATTCCCGCCAAACAGAAATTTAAAAACACAACTGAAATTTGAAATAGTCTAGGTGGCAATCTAGCTGGCGTCCTACTTGGCAGCAGCGGAAATGTTTGTATCATCCCCCCCCCCCCCATCCCCTCCTGGTAAATGTGGTTGTTATACTCATAAAAGAAGGTGTTTGTATTGCGTTTTTCATATTATTGTGCAACATCTTTTACTCACCTGCAAAATCGAGGCTAATATCTATTGCCTAGTGTCGGCTCCCTCCAGTACTTCATTAATATGATAGCTAAATAATATTAGATAAATTTTTCAAAGAATTTAACTATCGAAGGAAAATCAATGATTGAATTTATTGGTAAAAATAAAATAGAGGTAATAATAAAAATAGAGATTATAAAGAATTACAGGGGCGTATTTGTAATTAACTCTTATTCCATTATTTTCAAAAAGAAATTTGCCAATCACCTTTTTCCCTCCTCTCTCTACAGTAACGATCGTATATGAAAAGAAGAAACCACAAATTCAGTCTGTTTCCAGTCCAAAAACCCACACACTCTCTCTAACTCGTCTCCATCATTGCACTGTGAAAAAAAAGCAGAGTAAATTCAAAGAGATGAACTGACTCTTCCTTTTCTCTTCCATAAAACCCTAGAACTTTCAAATTCCTTTACTCAAAAAATCAGATGCAAGATATTTTTGGATCAGTTCGGCGATCACTGGTGTTCCGAACACCGACTGCCGACGGTGGAGATGACGGTAATCTAGTTGAGAAGATCAATTCCTGCATCCGGAACTCCAGAGTTTTCTCTAAGCTGTCGCCTCCTCCGCCGGCGTTGCCCTCACCAAAAGCCGTTAAAGATGGAGGTGATGCGGCTCCGCGGCCTATCCGGTGGAGAAAAGGTGAGATGATTGGATGTGGCGCTTTTGGACAGGTTTATATGGGAATGAATCTCGATTCTGGTGAACTTCTCGCCGTCAAGCAGGTCTTTACCTTTGTACTACTTTTTTTAGGTTTTGGAGTTCCAATTTTGTTTATCTTAGTGAATTATTAGGTATTTTGCCTTTTTTTAAGAGTAATTCTGAAACTTTTCCGATTTATAATATTTTCTCTTCAGGTTTTGATAGCCGCGAACAGTGCTTCAAAGGAGAAAGCTCAGGTTGGAAATGGCGATTGAGATACTTTTTGTTTTGTTCACGACTTACAATGATATAATCACTCATTCTATGAATATTTGGTTGCATTGACTGCCTAAATTGAAGTTTTCAAAGAGACAAAACTTTAATCGGTTAGATTGTTGCTATTGTTTGATTATACAAACTTTAATCTGCTTATCTTATGATGTTAAAAGCCTGCTAGAATATCGCATTTAATAGAATGAAGCTGCCCTCTTATCGTAGTTCCCTGCTGCTGTACTTACGTTTAGTTGGAGCATGTGCCCTTTAACTTTTCTTGTGTACGCCGTCCATTGATGAATGGGACTTCAGTTCTTTAGCTATTAATTTGTTTGTTTGTAACAACTGACATTGTGTAAAGGGAGATGTTTCTGCGACAGCTATGTTAAATGGAAGGTTGTTATATTGAATCTGAGGCGCTTAAAGACATCTGAAGACTGCTGTATATCTAAATTTTTGAGATTATTAGTTTCTAGTTTAGCTACTGTCTGATCCATTCTTCTGGATTCTTGATTGTCCTGAATAGTCCCACGTTAAAGAGCTTGAGGAGGAAGTCAAGCTTCTCAAGAATCTCTCGCATCCAAATATTGTTGTAAGTAAATCCTTGATCTCCTGTCTGGGGAATTGTTGTCCCTGAAATACTCAGTTGCTATATTGCGTTGTTAGAGATATCTTGGAACTGTGAGAGAAGAAGACACATTGAATATTCTGCTGGAATTCGTACCTGGTGGATCGATATCATCCCTTTTAGGCAAATTTGGATCTTTCCCTGAGCCAGTAAGTCATTTATGGTCTTATTTTCCACCCTCTTTTGATGTACGATCCTTTTTATTGGATGTCTCTAGCTAACACTATCTTCCCTAGTAGGTTATAAGAACGTACACTAAGCAATTGCTCCTAGGGCTGGATTATCTTCACAAGAATGGAATCATGCATAGAGATATTAAGGTATCATTTTTCCTTTCTTTTCTTGCCAGCGAAGTGTGACCAACAATAATCTCGTGTACTAATTTGGATTCAGGGGGCCAATATCCTTGTTGATAACAAAGGTTGCATAAAGCTGGCTGACTTTGGGGCATCAAAGAAGGTTGTTGAACTGGTATGTCTACCATCCACTATCGATCTGTATTTGGTTTAGTTTGGATGTAATGAAGAGGATATTGATGAAACATGTTTACAATAGGCTACTATATCAGGCGCCAAGTCCATGAAGGGCACACCATACTGGATGGCTCCTGAGGTCATTCGCCAAACCGGTCATAGCTTGTAAGAACAATTACAGCATTGTATTGATAAATCTGTAGCTTATTTTCTTGTTTGATCTAGATTGCAATATGCTACCTATCTGTTGTATCACTTTAATGGTTCTTATTTCTAGTTTGAGCCCACATTTTGTTTGTTTTGCTGATTACTTGGAAGTGCTTTTTTGGTTTCACAATGAGTCTTAGTTCTTGATTTTAATTAGACACTATAAGCATAAGATCAATTCATTAATTCTGATCATAATTGACCATGCTTAATTGCTGCAAATTTAATTGTGATTCGTGAAATTGAGTTAGTGCTCTCTTGTGCCCAGACAAATGTTCTCAGTTGTTTCTTTATGATGAGCCTAACAGTTTCATCTCTCTGACAGAGAAACATTTACCTTATCTATGTTACTTTAACTTCCATTTTTCATTTTTTTAAAATCTTTCCGCCTCTCTCTATTTTAGAAGAATTATCCAGATTTTGTTTTCGAATTGTCACACCTTTTTGTAAACTTTATCTTGTTTTGCTTCTTCAATCATAATGGTCCTCACTGTGTCAAAAGTTTTCTGGTGTTAAGCATTCATGTCTACCATCTTTTGTTTTCATTCCTTATCCGGTTCATATGCTGATTAGTCTTCTGAAACTTCGCCACCCTCCTGAGTTATGAACATGCTTTCAAGCTCCATGGCACCTTATTTCTTATCATACTCTGGATATTTCCAACTTTAATGTCTTTATTAATCACCAAAAAAGTCGTGCTCAAGTTTAAATTCCAGCTGAGACAAAAAACCACTAGGTGAATTTTCCCATCAACTCAAGTCTTGGTAGTCAGAGTTATCCGATACCTATGCTGTTAGGAGGTAGCAAGTGCCAAGTGGAATAGTCTAGGTGCACGCAAGCTCGCCCGGACACTACCGTCATAAAAAAATTAAGTTAATATTTCAGCCTCTAAATCAAGTCCTAGTCTCTTTATAGTAGAACAGAACTTTCTGATGGAAAGAGGAGTTTCTTGGTGAAAAAGCAATTCTTGTTTTTGACTAGATGTATGGTTCTGGTTCTATTATCCTTGCAGCATATTCCTTGAGTTGATCACTTCAGCATAAGTTCTGCTGGTAATTATTATGTCCTTGCATTTGAATTTCAGCTCTGCTGATATATGGAGCGTAGGATGTACCGTAATAGAGATGACTACTGGCAAGCCACCCTGGAGCCAACAGTATCAAGAGGTATACACTTCATGCAGGTCTTGTTTAATTCTTTTTATATTCCTTTTGGCATTTATGAACTGGTTACTATCTGCGGGCCCACTCATGCTTTGCACTGATGCTGTGTTTGTTTTAGGTTGCTGCGCTCTTCTATATTGGGACAACAAAAGCTCATCCTCCGATCCCCGAACATCTGTCTGTTGAAGCAAAAGACTTTCTGCTGAAATGCTTACAAAAGTATGTAGTCATCGCTGTATCTGACCCCAATCGAAGTCCAATAATAGCACAATAAATTTTGATGCCAAAACCATTTAGTTCACACTTCACAGCACCATGCCCTTTGATCTTCGTAGTAGACATAGACATGACTGCATATAGAGATGATATTCAATGGGAGAGAATATAGTTTTGTATGATTTCCTTCTTTGCCAAGTCTCTGATGTTTGATTGACTCTTTCTGGATTCATAGTGTAACCAGTAGATATAGTGCTGATTTCTTGGCATCCTTGGTTTGGTATTTTATCTGTTATAGTTATCCCTACTAACACCATTAATGACACTAAGATATGGCACGCAGGGAACCAGAGTTAAGACTATCAGCTAGTGAGTTGTTACAGGTGATTTGATTTGACCTATGACAATCTGTTATCGTTTTGTCTCTCTTGTACAATGTAATAATATGTTAATTCTTTGCTTCACATGTAGCATCCATTTGTCACTGGTGAAGCACAACTATCTCCTCCTGATGGTTCTAGTTCCATGATGGTCAGTTTATCTACATCAATTGGCAATATAGTTAATATTACTCAAGCACTTACTTTCTGAAATTCATTTACTGATAGGGCAAATCTCAAGCTCATTCTGATTCAAATGGGCATAATGGAAAAAGCGTGTAAGTGCTCTAAAGGCTTTATTCTAGCATCGACAATAGCATTTGCATCAAATAATCCCAAAGTCCTAATAAGAATCAAAGCTACGATTTCACTACCTAAATGCTAATGTCAACAGACAGAGAGAAATTTTGAAATCCTTTGATTTGTAATATAACAACTACGCCTCAATCCAAGCAAGTTGGGGTTGGCTATATTAATCCTCACTGTCCATGTTACTCCATTTAAGCTTATCTTAGTCCAGTATTATATAAAATATTAAAAATAAGAAGTACTCAGCTGAAGTTCTTTATATTTTCTACCGGCATATATCTCTTGCAGGACTAAAAGACTCCTAAGGGGTCGTTTGGTATGAGGTATAAGAAGGTATAAGAGTGGTATAAAAATTTAATACCACCTTAATACTCTGTTTGGTTAGTAAACCAGGTATAAGTTATTCCGGTGTTAATTTTAATACTGGGATAACTTATACCTTATAAAAGGTGGGGTAATTAACACCGGTATAACTTATACCTTCTTCTTAGAAATTATGCAATTGTCATTCTTAATACAACATACCAAACAATGAATAAACAACAATCCCAGCATAACTAATCTCAGCATAACTTATCCCAATATAACTTATACCGGCATAATTTATACCGGTATAAATCATATTCCAACCAAACGACCCCTAAAAATATTGGCCCTAAAGTAACTTACTAGCATGACTAATACTTAATCCCAACTAATTGTTAATACAGATCTTTTTCTTTTGTTCTGCTATATTCGTTTGGTATTTAGGATATGAAATGATAAATAAATCAATAACATATGCATTGCATTGAAGAGTGCGACAAAGTAAGCCTCTAGAGTTTGACCTTGAAATTAGAAACCTGTGTTTGTCTACTTGTGAAATAGCTTTTGGCTGCATTTCCAATGGACAATATGGATTATACATTTCTTTGTAGATTATATGGACTATTCAGTAACTATGTCTAATACTTTGTTGATTGAATGACAATCAGTGCTGGTTCAATAGACATCTGCAACTTGGGTACCTTGAATATCTCAACAGAAAATGCATGTACCTTGTCCGAGACCGGACATAAGTGGAGAGGAAACAGTAGTGATGATGATATGTGTCAGATTGATGATACTGATAATTTTTTCTTGGGTGGAGGAACAAAGTTAAGCACTGCTAAGACGGTGGATGATTTCAATAAGGTATTAAGCGTCTCTGCTTGCTGCTTTTGTTGCTAAAGTATATATATTACACTGGAGTTGATTTCCTCTATATCGTCATGTCAAGTAGAGTTTCAATCCCATCTCTGAGCCCTCTGGTGATTGGAACTGTGATTATGACATGACTCCTCAATCACAACAAGGGAATGCAAATATAGTTAGCAATCAGGAAGGTGGCATAGGTGATGGGATTTCAGTCTCGCCTAACAACAATTCTGCAGTTTTTTGTGGTCCTTCCATATCAGAAGATGAGGATGAGCTTACTGAGTCTAAAATCAGAGCCTTCCTGGATGAAAAGGTTCCCACTTCTCGTGTTGCTTGACATTGCTCTATGCAGAAGTTATTCTTACATATTTCTATCTTTGCATTTAAAGTGTATCCTTTTATTTCTGTATAGGCTCTTGAATTGAAGAAACTGCAGACACCTCTGTATGAAGAGTACTACAACAACAGTTTGAATCCTTCATACTCTCCACAGTTGGCTGAGACTGCAATCGATGAAACCACTCCAAAATACTTGAAATTACCCCCGAAAAGTAGGTCACCAAGTAGGGGTCCTATTGGAAGCCCGTCTACAGGAGTTGATATCATCAATAGTGCAAGCCCTGGGAGCAGCAACAGGCGAACATCATGCATTGGCAGTGGAAGCAACCAAGACTATGATGACAGTTCACCGCAATCTAATGAGCGGAGGCAATCAAATAGTCCAATGTAAGTTTGTAGATCAACTTTCTTTTGTCTTGATTTTCTTTTTGGTTTCTGTAATTTGAAGATATATTACTCTGTTTGTAGTGCAAGTTTTAGTGAGATTCAGAGGAAGTGGAAGGAAGAGCTTGACCAAGAGCTTGAAAGAAAGCGAGGTAGATCTTTGCTTCTCCATATGATTTTCTGATCAATGCTCTTCCCTCACTCTGCTCCTGTGCATGAACTCATGCATGGTTCTTCTGTATTGCAAATTCTGTATATATAGGTTTCCTCTTTTGCTGATGTAGATTAATAGTATAATGTTTTCTTACTTTCAAGCAGGATAAAAACTTGATCCGCCACGTTCTCAAAACAAAACCAAGTTTCCTCTCCAATCCATTTCCACCATTTGTCCTTTTCCATGTAAAGATATTTTAAATTATATTTTTCCATGATGATATGAGTTGATCATAATAAAAGAAGTGAGGATCCATATTGCCCACCCCAACTTGTTTGGGACTGAGACGTAGTTGTAGTTGTAGTCTAGTACTTCTGTAAATAGTTTAAAGGACAGTTAAGTAACTTAAACAAAAAATTGTTCAGCATTTTTTTGCCAAATACATTAACTGTAGTTAGTTTTAACACTTCTACCCAAACTCGTAATTGCTCATTTATAAAATCTTCTTCTGCACTGCTTTTGAACACCTAATACTTCTCAGTCACTTTTAATCAGCGAACCCAAGCAGACTCTTTGTTGCTGTAAATTATTTATCTATCTTATTAGATAGTCTCATGAAACCCACAATTCTTGTAACTTTTTTCCCTGTAGAAAGATCGCTATATTTGGAAGTTCTAATCGCCCTTAGAAATTATGCAACAGATGTTCTATTTAAAAGTTAAAACATCGCTAGTTAAGTTGTTTAAATATTTCTGGCAGTTGGATGTTCATCACTTCATTTCCTTAGGGCTGTTATCCAGTTACACTGAGAACCTGGATATCATGCTTTTAAACCCATCCTAGGAGTCATAAATATTGTCTCCTGCCTGACCCTTTGTTCTGCAGTGCAAAGAAGCTGGTTTATTGCTGAATATAAGAATATCTTGTGAAGCCTGGTGCCTGAGGGACCTGTAATCCTTTTTTTTTTTGTAACATTTTCTCAAACTTTATACTTGTAGAGAGTACAGATTTTCTTAGAGAAGTTGCAGACATTATCCCAAAGTTATAAGAACTGATCCTAGCTAAAAGTGCTTAGAAATCATGAAACTGGAGTCCCCAACCCTCTTAGTTCTGCAGAATTTTCTGCAAGAAGCATGGGGACTTTTAACGAAACCAATTCTGGTAGTTTCTTGATACCAACCTTGTGTAAACACTGTCAATTCCTAGTTATTAATGGTCAAACGTGGGAGTGTCTTTGTCCCTACGAATGGTGCTGCTGCATCAGACTAGAACACTTGCAGATTATGTCATCTTTGAATGGCTCCTGTTATTTACTGTAAGGAGTTGGGTTTAATTCCAGAGCTAAATGCTAACCAGTTTATCCCCCAAAGTGAGCTTGCTTAATCTTTAGCTTCACTGTTCTTTTGTTAAAGTGGAATTACAGTTGAATTTAATACAACTTGTTGGAGAGAAATTTTTGGAGCCACTTTCCTGGTTCTGAATAGTAGAAGATCCTAACTACAAACTGGGTGCATTGGTTGCAGAAATGATGCGTCAAGCAGGTGTGGGGGGAAAAACATCTTCTCCCAAGGATCGAGCTTTGAATCGACAGAGAGAGCGTTCAAGGTTTGCATCTCCAGGAAAGTGACTGTATATTTCTGTATCCGCATTCATAGATCAAGAGGTTTTTCCCCCCTTCTATGAACCTCTTTACTGTATATGTTACCACACTTGGGGAAAAAGATGTGCAAAAAATCTAGTCACAGGATTGATCCTTGTGCTGTGGTTTGCTTCTACCTCACAAGCCAGCAACAAAATGATATGTTACCACTCAGGGATTAATCCTACTTCCAAATTTTTCCTTGTGTTTTTCTTTCTCCTTTTCAAGGAAAGAGGAGCAGAGTTTATTGTATGTTCTTGAGTTGTAAAATTCCTTCATGTAGGGCAATCAGGATAGGTATGGCAGATTGTAGCCACCAAAATGTCCTGTTCCACTTTCCTGTTAGGATATGTTTCCTGTCATATTGAAGTTCATATGTAATTTGCTTGAAACTTATGGTTGTTCCGAGTGCATTTATCTGATCTTTTCTTTTGAAATGTAAAGTTTTATTGATCCAGCACTGAGGTCTTATATATGTCGAGAGCAAAAGACAAATTATCCCAAATCTAGCCTGGTATGGATTCTATGTGCTCTTAATATTGATTCTGCATCATGCACTGGTTCTTTACACCGAAATGTATACTAAAGTATACAATTCCTTGTGATCATTATGTTTGAATTATTTGATATTTAATATTTTAGGTGTGCTAGCGTGTCCATATTGATCCCTAGGTTAAATTACACGTGCTTAATACCAAAAATTAGAACTGGCCTGAACCTTGATTGATTAAATTGGACTCAATTGCTACTCGTGCTAGTCATAATTTTCAGTTTCCCTCCTATTATCTGAAGTGAAAAATAGTTGAACCACTTTTTAAGAAAGAATGACACACGATGTAATCTGTTTTTGTTTCATTATCCAGAACTAAAAGTACGTTTTTTAGCAATTACAAAAGTAAAATTTCCCAATCTCGTCCAATTTCATCCTTGACATAGAAGTGGTAAGTTTGACATTTACTATTTAATGATAATAGATCGAGGGAAAAATAAGACAAGAAGCAACAAAGAAATTCTTTTGAAGAGAAGCAAAAAGGAAATAGGAGTAATATTTAATCAAATGTCGGAATCGGAAAGTCTTCTTGGGTCCTTCACTTGGATTTTCCAATGCCCATCAGAATAATTAGCAACCTTAGCCTTCTGTCTCTCCAATCTTATCCTTGTATCCATCTCTGGAGTCAAATCACAAAACTTCTGAAGCTCCTTAGGCATCAAGTCATATACTTGCCACCATTTTGCATGAATTCGATCATTTGGAAAATCCCTATATTCCAAAACATCCCAATTGCAGTCATAATCTTTGTAACACATCCATGGCTTCAAACCTAAGTAATGCATCGCATATGCATCCTCAGGATATTCATATTTTCTACGCTCATCTGTCTGGAAATTTTTGAGATAATTCAGTTTAGCAGGCAACCTATGCCACCAAGAAAAAACCTCATTCAAAAACCCTTGATCACCTCCATTGTATGAAACTATAGTGAGGGTTTTTTCCATTAGGGTTTTGAAAGTACACTCCGATGGCTCGATTATCATGATCCCTGAGTTGAACACATGTCTACAGTTTCCAGCTGCTGATAACTGAGGAAACATGAAGAAAGGATCAAGATTCTTGAAGAAAAGAAAGTCAGCGTCTACGAATATGAGTTTATCATATTCTACTAGCTGCCATATTCGGAGCTTGCTGTAGTTCCATTCGTTGTACGTTCCTCTTTTTGCATGAGGGTTTCTTATTCTTTCTATGACTTTGATCTTCCATCCTGCTAGTTTGAGAGCATTGAGGCTTTCGTGTGATATGGAGTTATCAAGGAGGAGAATGAGGTCTTTTGTGGAGTTGGATAAGATGATGCTTTGTGCTAGAGCTATTGCTCCACAAACATATGATTCTGAGGAGTGAAGAACAGTTACGTAAGCCTCTCTTGGCTTTTTGTTGCTCCCCGACGAAGTATATTTTCTCCATTCTTCTTGACCTAGTATTTTCAGCCAAGGTAAATGAGTGAGGTGAAATCCTTAAAACGTACTACATATAGCAAGGAGAAAAAGTAAATGAAATACTTATTTGTCCCAAAAATGTGTCTTAATTTGAATCAGTGTACAACAACAACATACCCAGTATAATCGCACATGTGCGGTCTGGAATTTGAATCAGTGTGAAGCTTTCAAAAGTAATGTAGACTTTTAAATTTTGTGATCTTAAATTAAAGACTCTTATAACATACACCAAAAATGTCTTTTGAATTTTCTGATTTTAAATATGTAATGGAAATTCTATAAGGGGTTGGTAAAATGAGAATTTTGGACTTAAGAATCGCCAAATATAAAAGGTGGCATTCTTTTGAACTTTGAAAGAATGCCATTTTTTCGATACTCTTCATATCCTTTCAAGGAGAAAAAGGAAAACTTTTTCTATACTCTTCATATCCTATCAATATATGTTGAACTTTGACAAGTACAGGAAACCTTATCTTCTTTTAAATACTCAGATTTGAAGAAGGTGACACGTTAGTTCCATTTTGACCTATTTCTTTCTCGGCCTATTTCTTTTCTGATATGGTACACTATTGGATTACACTCACACAGGGGATGGGGGATGTACTAAATATTATTACTAGGAGAATAACTGAATTAAATTTAGTGATTTCATTTAATCCTTTTAGGAAGTTGTTTACCACCATTGATTCATTTCCATAATATCTTATTCTAGATTCGAAGCACCCTGGTTCAGATTGCGGTATAAACGTACTTTAGTTGAGAATTCATTCCTTGCCAAACTATAAAACAAATGCAAACGAAAAAAAAAGAAAGTGAACGTTAAATTATCTTGATCACTTACAGATGCAAATTAAACAAGTGAAATTTATCGAATTATTTGGTGGAATTTTGAAAAAATTCATAGCACTTAAAGATTTAAGACTTTAGTTGGCTCCACCATCAATGGATGTTGATATATACTCTCTAAAGTGATATGTATGTCAATGCCATATACAGAAAATAATTATGTCTACCTAAGAATTTTAGCTACAAGATGTTTGTCGAAGATCCAAACTGATCCCTTGCTGCCTTGTAAAGGCAACATGAAAAAAATTTCCAAATTGCTCCTTCTAATATTGCCTTCTAAATGAAGGATTAATGAAAGAAACATTCATTTTCTATATCTAGCAACTTTTCTCTATCAAGATTGCTGGTGCATTTATATAGTGCTTAATAAAGAAGCCAACATATTTCCAAACAACGCATGTGGTCAATTGTTTCAGAATATTACCGTACCATCTATATATATACATACATTCAAAGTACAAAAATGATATGCTTCAAATAAACATGGAAATGCACCATAATATAAGAAATCTAATCACTTTCCTGCATATTATTTCCACATTCCCTTGATCTTGAAGTTGTTACCTTTGCTCCTAATTAATTTATCCAAAAATAGAAGTTATAGCCGGTCGGATTCACTGTTTATTTTTTCTATGAGGTATACACTGGTTATACATGATTATCACAATTATACTTATATTATACATCTGTTGGCTATTTTTAGTTCAACCGGCTGGGTTAACAATTATTTAGGTTAATTCTTCTAACATAAGTTCTAACATTAATAATTAATCTTGATAATTTTCAAGATATTGAACGTTTTGGATATACCTGATTCAGCAAATGGACTGGCAAGTTGGCAAGTTCCAACTGGCAGGAGAACTTTCTGCTTCAGTCTTCTCAAATCTGGCTTGTAAATCCATGCATTTCCTCCATACCATATTTGATCATCACACCTGAAAATCTCAAGCATAGGACTACAAGGTCCTACGAAAACAACGTACATTTCACGAGAAATATCGCGAAAACCCCATCCATTTTTTACCAAAAGATTAGCCACGATTAGGTTTACTTGTAACCTAAACACATTGGTTGCATTTGCACAAGGAACCCTAGCTAAAACCACATCCAAATCTGCATATTCGTCGAGCTCTGGCATAGGAATTTCGGGGCATTGTGATGATTTCTGAGGTACATTTTCATCGATCCATTCTGGGAATAAGTCCTTCCACATAACACTTTGATTTACACGATGAAAATGAACGTTGACTAGTTCTGCTTCGTCGTGTAGATCTTTGACTTCAACGTTGGTTCCATGCACGTTGACTAGTCCGATTTTGAACTTTGTATTCTTCGTTTCATTTTCGAGATATTTGTACCAGCTAGGTTTTGTGACATGCCTACGGAAGATTTCTGTTGGTTGTTTCTGATTGTGTAAGGTGTGGATTATGGTTTCATGGCGTTTAGGGCTGTGTGATATACTTAGGTAAACGAAGATTATAAAAAAAGAGATTATTGAAAGGGTGAAAAGCTTTGGTCTTGAATGGGAGGACTTGGAACCCATTTTTCAAGTTTTGATTCCTTTGAATATGTGAGGTGTATTTGTAATTGAAATTTATACCTAAATAAGGAAATTAATTTAAGGAAAGAAAATTATTTGCATTCAAGAAAATTAAAGTAAAATGCAGTGAACTTTCAATTGCTTGCCTTTAGATATATCCAAACCATACAAGAGTGTGTTAGACCATGTCATCAACTGCTTGTGATCAAAATGATTTAAAGTTTTTTCCACACTAATTAATTCTAATTGTATGTTATCACATGTGATGTGATATATACTTCAATTTTGAATCTGGTTTCCATATTGATCTTATAGCGTCATAGCGAAGAACAGAAAAAGAATTTGGAGGCGTGCTAATGAGTATATCTCACTTCATGGATCATTAGTTGGTAGATCTTTTTAAAGTGAGATGAGTTGGGTGTTGAATAACATAATTGAATTAAATATGCCCAAATTGACACATAAGAAATAAAATAACAAAATATTTTTTAAAAATAATTTTTTTTGTTTAATATGTTATATATTTGGTAATTAAACAAATTAAAACAAAACAAACAAGAAATAAAAATAAAAATTTGGTTAAAATTGAGCAAGTTGGCCTTTGACTCATTATTTAGCACATCTTGAACCCTCAATTTATTAATTTAGACCATTTTGATATGCACATTCAGTCCAAATTGTCCATTTGACACCCCTACATGGAGGCCATCAATCCATTTCTCACCGTCAAATAATAATTATAAGGCCAGATGTGCTTAGACCTTAAATAAATTCAGTATACATCCAAGAGATAAAGAAGTAACATAAACTGCTATCAGTTTGGATAACAACGAATGGCGCCTTATTTTGTGGTGATGCATATTGAGTATTTATAATATCTCCGAGCAATAGCTCCAACAAAGGAGCTCAAAGGGGAAGGAATTATTACAAAAAAAAAAAAAAAAATCTCAGCTTTTAACAACAAAAATAATTTTTTATTGTGAGTATTTCAATGTCAATAGAAAATGTCCAACACAGTAGATAAGTTGAGTCTTTTTCTGCTAACTAGTCTCTCTTCACGTGCGTTCCACGTGTATTCTTAAATATATGTAAAAATATTTAATGCATACAGACAAAAGATATTTATTTTTGTTTACGGATTTAAACATACCAAAAGTTAGCGTTCTAATGCAATCACAAGACCCTTAATAAATTAAAATAAAAAGCATACTCTGCAACCAACTCTATCTCCATTTTTTTAGCCTTCATTCTATCAATCAAACTTTAGTATATCGCCCTTTTGAAATTTGATTGCTTCAATAGACGATGGTAGAAGCAACATTTCTGTGATCAACGTTATCTATTATGTATCCTTCAATCATGTATAACAATATCAAGTGAGCCTTGTCATGATTTGTCTCTCAAAGTTGATTGCTCTTCTCTGCAAGAATATTCAATTCCCGCTCTCTATCTTAATGCAGATGTCTTGCACAACATCTTTAACTTCTTCATAAACACCTATAAGTATTATTTATTTATACATCGATAGATTCAACTCTCATTTGTGGATATATATGAAAAGTTGAATTGCATGACGAACTATTTTTTATCTATTGAATAAAAATTAGCTAATCAAGTGAGATAAAATTTAGGAAAAAAGGTTCATATATCTCTATAATGTTTAAAATTATTTGTTTTCTTATTTTTTAATAAAATCTTAGAGCTTGATATCTTTCCTATGTCGGCATAATCATTTCCTAACGTTGCCTTTTACATCAAGGAAGTCTCTTTTCTCTCCCATTTAACTGAATGGAATTTAGATAATAGCAATATACAAAGAAGCATTTATAATACGTGAAAACAAAAGTCTCTCCACTTATTCCGTTGTTCTCTTATATAGTCTTTATTCTCCAAGTAAACACTGAAACATGTCTACTAAAAATGATCTAAGAAAAAAGTAGCATCAGATATCTACTAAACATTATCAGAATGAGAAGAAAATATAATCATATGTCGCATGGATTTCATGATTAATTGTTCGTACTCTTTCAAAAATATATACCTAATTTCCAAAATTCTTTAGTTCTAATCTGACCCAGTGGCGGAGAACAACACTTTTAATTTCAATTTTCATAAGGCTTCTCGTTCCATATCTCCTCGGTCACTACTTGATGAGTCATGGTATAAAATAAACCAGAAAAATGACTAAGAGACAAAATAGAAGGATCATGGAGACTTCTTAATTAACGTAATGAAAAGTCAATGAACATAAAATCACATACCATTGTCTATGAATTGGTAGACTAAATTTACAAAGGAGATCAAATAGTTGCAAGAAAATATTAGACAGACTTGCTTTAAGGTATCTCCTTTGCATGACCATATACGTAGCATTCCAGCCTTATTAATTATTACTATAATACTAAGGGAATATGGTGAGATATGAAAAGACCATTCGTAGTACTATTCTAGCCTTATTACTTTCTTTCCCTTATTTTTTATATTTATTTTACAAAAAATATTTAGGTTTTTTAGAAGAGTATTTTGGTAATTCAACCTTAAACTTTTAAGGTTCCCCTTCACGTATATGTCAAGCCATGTGTAACATGTTGTTAGAAAAATAGATCTTGAGAAAAATAAAACATTGGTGGTTTTTGATATAATATTCTCCGTATTGCAACCTGAATAACACTCTTTCACAAAGTTTCATGCATGCTACTAAATTATATACCTATAAACCAATTTCATACAAAAATATATATTCTAAAATCATCACATAACAGATCTTACCCTTATATTTGTATGGACTGGATTTCATAAATCAAGGGTAGAAACTAAAAGAAAAAAATGTCAAATAAAGAAAGTAAAACCAATTTTATATTGCGACTTTCTCCTTCATGGCTCTTTGATATTGTTTCCAATTACAACAGGCTAGTGATTTGGAATGTCAATTGCCTTGCTCCATGAAAAGAACTGACATGTTTTTCTCCCGCATTTATAAGTGCAGAGCTTTCACTTTATTTGGCTTGTGAAAATGAGAAACGAAAAGATAAAGATTGATGGACAACACGTTATAACTTGCAATTGGTAAATGAATTTCGTTTTATATTTAATTAGTCAAATGAATTTAATGTTTAATGAAATATGCAAAGCAGCTTCTCAAATTCTTCAAAAGTTGGATAGCAACAAAGAGTCATGTTGTTTAGTGCAGTGGTTTATTTTGCTTTAGCGTACATTGAGTAGGGGGCAATTTTTATTTAAGTGAAGGGTAAAATAGTCAGTATAATTTTAAGGGTATTTTTGTAATTCAACTTTTAACTTAAGACCTTCCCACATTTTAATATAGTATAGATAAAACCGCTCTAAATGACGCGGAATTAGAAACCACTACTACAAGTTTTTTTAATCTTCGAAGATTAGTAAACATCTAGAGAAGCACATGTACCATAAACATAAAAGTCAATTGTCGGTGTACTTCCGACCAGAAATAAAAGGCAAAAAATATAGGCTGAATACATAAGAGGCCTTTTAAATTTGTTAATTTTTCATTTAGACACTTGAACTAAGGACATGGGCGGATTCACATAGAGAATTATGGTGCTCAAGCACCCATTGCCCATGGTGTTGAATATATAATGTTATAGACAACTTCGCATGAAATGGATATATATTTAGGTGAGCATCCATTACTCAAATAGATAGATGGGTGCTACTGGTTAATGAAATTTAAGTATGCGCTCTGTGTGATCCGGAGTTCGATTCTTATGTAGTGCACTCTTTGACTTTCTTTTTCGTCTCCCTTTTACATGGCTTCCCCTTTTGTTCTTAACTTTGCCGTTTTTTCTTTCTTCAATTTATTTAATTCATCGTGGCACAAAAATAATATTTAATTTACCACCACCAAATTTGACAGCCTATATTGTGGTTTGGAATACTGACAATAATGATACAATTCAAGAAAATATGGATATTTATATTCTTAGTCATTCAATCTATATTTTATCCATATTACGTATGAGTGGTTCGGAAGTTTTATCTGTATTGTCTAAAACGTCTTCAATCCGTCCATATCAATCTGACTCCTCCCATCATTTGCTAGCACTAATTAATAGTGAGCATCCATTAGCTTAAAATGCTGGATCAGCCACCGACTAAGGAGGTAACCTATTGAACACTTGATGTATATACATTAAGCTAATTGAAAGAGAGAATTCAACAGAAATATTGTAACCAAATTGGAGCTCCTATCTTGCTGGAAATATAACATATTGCAAAATACTGAAAGGGAAATTGTTAGCATAGATGATTTGAATCTCTTGTTAGACTAATCAAATTTATAATCATTAATAGGAAAGTCTTCTTGGATCTTTCACTTGAATCCTCCAATGCCCATTTGAAAATTTAGCTTTCTTGGCTCTTTCCCTCCACTTTATTATCCTTGCATTCATTTCTGGGGTCAATGCACAATATTGCCTAAGCTCAATAGGCATTTTCTTGTACACTTTCCACCATCTCTCATGTGCTGAGTCACTCGCAAAAATTTGCGATTCCACCTTATCCCAATTACAATCATAGTCTTCGTAACACATCCATGGCTTTAATCCCAAATAATGTACGGTATACGAATCATCGCTAAGGTCGCGATGACTCGAATTCCCAAAAATCTTGAGAGTATTTAATTTACTAGGCCACCTATGCCACCAAACAAACATTTCATTTAAAAAGCCTTGATCACCCCCATTATATGAACCTACTTCAAACCTTTTGTTCATTAAATTTTGGAACTTGCATTTTGATGGTTCTATGATCATAACACCAGAATTGAAAATGTAACCATCATTTCCAGCAGCTGATAGTTCTGGATACGAGAAAAATTGATCGATGTTTCTAAAAACCACGAAATCTGAATCGATGAATATGACTTTATCATATTCACTAAGTTGCCATATTCTGAGCTTGCTGTAATTCCATTCATTATATGCATTTTTCTCAGCATGTGGACTTCTTATTCTTTTGATTTTCTT